TTACAGAAGCCTGGTGTGAGTGGCCACAGTGGGCGGTCCTTACAGAATACCCGGTGTGGGTGGCCACAGTGGGCGGTCCTTACAGAAGCCTGGTGTGGGTGGCCACAGTGGGCGGTTTCCAGCATTGTCACTCATCTGCACGAAGAAGCCACCTCCACGCTAGGACTTAGCTAGGACTTGCCACAGCTTGAAGCTGGTCCCACCTGTGCCTCTTGCCTCTTTCATGCCTGGGATGAATGTTGCCTGTGTACCAGGTAGCCGCAGGTGGGGGCATCACTGAGGAAGAGCTGCCTGGCTCAGTAGTCCACTTCCCACAGCCCTGCCAGGAGCCACCATTGCTCACCAGTCACCTTTCCTTTCTTGTTGCCTCGAGTCGAGCTACTGCGGACAGTGAACTGTGGAGAACCCTGCTCAAGGGTTCTCCTTGGGCCCAGGCGGTTCTCCACTGGCTCTGGGAATGGGCATGACCTAAGCACAGTTCTGGAATGTGCATACAAACTCAGAGGTGGTTCCAGGGAAGATGGAGATTTGAGGGTGGATTAGCAGGATGCGTGGGGCTGATGGCAACGGTGTTTCCCGTTGCTGTTTTCTTTGGACTAGGCGACAAAGGGACTTGGCAGTCAATCGCAGGGGAAGCTCTGTGAGATAGGTGACTGCTGGCTTGGTGGGTTCGGTAGGAGAGGAACAGCTTGCTTTCCCAGTGCTGGATTGAAGAACCAGGTGGACTAGGTTTGCCTCAAGGTCTGGAGGCAGCAGAGAACCGTTGTGAGGTGAATGTGGGGTCTTAGGCACAGGATACAACTGCAGTTTTCCACCAAGAAGAAACTAAGTCATAGGGTACAGTAAGGACGACAAGAGATTGAGGATGCAGAGGCCCCTTGTCAACCAGGAAGGGTGACACCCATGCAAATATGGTCAGTGGCATCAGGCTGGCCCAGTCCTTGGCTGGCCTGGGTTAGCAGAGTGAAGCAGTCCTGTTACCACCTCTCAAGTCTGTGCCAACAGTGCCCTTTCCTTCCTTAAACCCATGCTCTGCTTCGAGGTCCCGTCTACATGGCCTAACATTTTGAGACATGCCCTGTTAGGGGATTTTGTTTTCTATAAACCTAATGGAGTGTGCAAACTAACAAGGTTAGTTAACTAGGTGATATAATCTCCTGGGACCATGATAAATGCACGGTAATTGTCTGTAGCTGGTGGTTGCATGACATCTGACTGGAGTACGGTCTAACTGGCCAAAGTCCCAGTGCCTAGTACTTGGTGAGCAAGGCATTTCTCAAATCTGGAAACAGAAGCCCCTTAAAAGTAGATCCTGTTCCGGGATGACAGACCGACTGGGGCAGCGCTGGGTGTAGTTACTACTGCACAATGTCCCTCGGCTGTTTCTTTAGGTCAAGAGTCATTGGAAGATCCCAAGATTGAAAAAGGTGACCCACTGTGACCTTTGTACAATTGACAGATTAGGGATCAACCCTCTTGAGCCAGAGTGTAAAACAGGTAGCTATTTCAGCGTTTTCAGGACGACATCTGTTTTACAGCTCAGGTGTCTGTTAGCTCTGGCACCGGTTGGGCTCTTGAGAAAGACATCCTTGTCTGTGTCAGGTCATCTGCAATGCGCCTCCCCCGGGCTTGTTAAAGCACGAAGCCTGTCTGACGCAAGAGCAAGACTCCCCAGTCCGTTTCCCAATCTCAGGCTCACTCAAAGATGTTCTCAGCTCCCTTTTCCTTTCTGTTTCCTTCTCAGCCTCCTGGTACAAAGAGGAAGCATGGACAGACAGATGGCAAAGCAGGACCTGTACCTGTAGCTTCCACTCATTTTGGTTGACAGCTCATTGTATGTTGAGACTCTAGCTGGGGTTCTTAGCATGGCTGCTCGCTGCAATGACCTGGGTAGCTCTACGCCGCAGCAAACCAGGAGCCCACCCAGAGACAGCTGATGTTTTCAGGTTGGGCATGGCCGTGGCCTTGGGCTTCAGCAAGGTAACCAGGTGAATCTCACAGGCAGCTGCCTTCAGGACCTCTGCCCTAGACATACAGAGGTAACCAGCTAGACCTGGGGACAGAGGCAGGAAAGGTTAGGTTGTGCCCCAGCTGAGCTTTACGCTAGCTGTCTAAGCAGGAAGCTTTAGAGGCAGTTTGAAATAGGACAGCCTGTTCTGTCAGGTCCCAGAATATGTATTTATTAAGTGCCATTAAAGGGGACCTGAACAAAATTGGATGTTCTTGTAGGCATAAGGGAGAAAAATGAAATACACTTAGAACCAAGGCTATCTCGTGAAGGGGAAATAAAAATGTATTCAGTACATGTGGGTTATGGTTTCTCAGACCAGCAGTGAGATTAAAAGTCACTGGAGAGTGAGAGAAGGCATGCTGAGAAGATGGAGCGTGGCCTGGATTGTCTCCAGGGGACTCTGTGTAATGTGCCTTTTGCCCCCAATGCCTAGAGCCATCGCACTGTGTCTTATTTATTTCACTCTTGGGCTGTCACGTGCACACTCACAAAGACACTTGCCTAAGAATGGAACAGAACTCCCAGGAGTTTACATGGTATCCTTGTTCCTCAAAGTGAAGACAGAATCCATTAACCCGTTGAGATCCACCTTAGTTTAGGACACAAGGAGATTGTGTTATCCAAGGAGAGACGAATGAATCCTTGGTTAGTGTGATGAGCATGATGTGAACTGCTGGCAATAAAGGGCTTTCCGTGACTCCTGCCGCTGCCTAGTGTACTGTTCATTCACCGGTCCTGCTAGATATGGAAATGGCGCCTTGTTCATTCATGTTTTTATTCGAGTGTTGGCTGCACACCCTTGGTGCCTCCAAGATTTGGGCATCAATGCTAGGTATACAGGAAGACATCAGATAGATGAACTGTGTCATTTCTGAACTCTACCCGGAGTCTGGGTAAGGAGGTAGACAAGTCAGCCCCCGGTTCTGAGTATAAGTGTCAGGATAGGGATAGGGCAGAAGCTGGAGCCCAAGGGAGGTGCTGAGCTCTGGCCTGGACTTGGTGACCAAGGAAAGCTTCCTAAAGGAAGTGATATATGACTTCAGACCCAATGAACACCTGAGCTTAGGTGATCAGGAAGGCGTACGCAAAAACTAGAGGTGGCAGCAGACGGCAAAACTGAAAGACTATGGAGCCAGAATGCAGGGGTGGAGGGATGTGGCAGAGGCAGTAAGAGACGTGTTAGTTGGGGCCTGGAGAGATGGCCTCAGAGGTTAAGAGCACTGAGTGCTCTTCGAGAGGTCCTGAGTTCAATTTCCAGCAACCACATTGTGGTGCACAACCATCTAGAATGAAATTTGGCGCCCTCTTCTGGCGTGCAGGCAAACGTGCAGACAGAACACTGTATACATAATAAAAAAGAGAGGGGGCAGGTGGTTAGTCAAGCCAGCAAAGCAGAGAGTTTCAGATTGTCTATGGGAGCCACTGAAGCAGTTAAAGGAGAGGAGTGAAATGCTCAGGGCTGCAGTTTTTGGGAAATCACCTGGCTCTGACTAGGTGTCTGATGTGCCTATAGATGACTATACTTTACAAGGACAGAGCATGCTACTTCCTTTCAGAACCTTCTAAGCCTCTGTCATGAGCCCCAAGTTAGAGGTGTTTAATACATATCGCATAGACAAACATCCCAGAAGGTGCAGGAACACTGAAACCCCGTCTTTAGGAAATCCCCTCCTAACTGGAGGCATACTAGGGTCACACAACTTTCTGGCCCTGCAGGGTTCGGTACTGCTGGCATCACAGGACTTCCTTGGACCAGGCTTAGAGGTGCGAAGACAAGGGGGAGACTAGGGGGCTGAGATGGTCATGGTAGGACTCACAGGAAGAGATGGGGGTAGATTCGGGACCTTGAAGAGAAGTAAGATTAGGAAACCAAATGGGAGAGAGATCTCCAGCTAGAGGAAGCCTGCTCTTGGGAAGCCCGGCACAGACACACCAGGGCAGATGTTCACACAGACTCACAGAGACTGTGACAGCAGGCACAAGAGCTAGACAAGCTGGAGCCGGGTGCCACCCCAACCAAGAAGCTACTTGAAATTGACAGCTGTCAAGAGAGGGAAAAATCAGAGTCAAGGGGTGGTGGCACATGCCACCATGCTTGGGAGGCGGAGGCAGGTGAATCTCTGAATTCGACGCCAGCCTGGTCTAGAGAGTGACTACATAGAGAAATCCGTTTCGGGGGGTGGGGGGATCAGTTTTTATCAATAAAGTGACATTGGATATATCAGCCATGCTCGGAAATGGTTGATCAACACAAATCAGTCTTTATGGTAGGTTGGTGTTTTGTTTTTCCTAATTTCATTTATTTATTTATTGAGACTAAGTCTTATTAGATAGCCATGGCTAACCTGAGATTTATCTGCCTGCCTTTTCCTCCTGAGTGCTGGGGTTAAAAGTATGTGCCTGTCTTTTTTGTTTTTAATTTATTTTATGTTTAATTTTTTTCTTTTGGTTTTTCAAGACAGGGTTTCTTTGTGCAGCCCTGGCTCTCCTGGAACTCACTAGGCTGGCTTTGAACTCGCAGAGATCCACCTGCTTTGCTTCCCAAGTGCTGGGATCAAAGGCATGAACCATCACCACCACCCAGCTATTTTTCCTTCTCTTTTTTTGAGGGAGGGGATTTGAAACAGGGTTTCTCTATATAATACTCATGCTGTCTTGAAACTCACTCTGCAGACCAGGCTGGCCTCAAACTCACAGAAATCCACCTGTCTCTGCCTTCTGAGTACTGGGATTAAACATGTGCACCACCATGCCTGGCATCTCTCATTTAATTCCTAACACCACCAAGAAAGGAAATTTCTGCATAGGAAAGTTAAGTTTGGGAATTATGACACAAGGTCAGATGAGCCAGTTGCAATGGCACACAAGATTGGCACATGCTGGGGATGAAGTGGAGGTTATGAGTTAGAAGCCAGCCTGTGCTACACTGATGGGAAGAAGGAAAAAGGAGGCGGCAAGGGAGGGAGGTAAGGA